ACTCTGGAAACAGGAACCGAAAGAGCCGCCGGCTCGTCACCACTATTTTGGTTTCCGTTGCCTGCGAAGAGACGCAACGGCGACGTGGCCTATTCTTAGAACGCGGCACCGTGTTCTTTTTTCATTTTCCCACTTCCTCCCGCGCCCTTTGAATTTGCGCAAAACCAAAGAGAAGAGACCCTTCCACACAGCTGCTAGCGACGAAAGAAAAGTGAGGACGAATGCACAACACTTGTGACACGAGTCCCAACACAGCCCCTAACCCGCAGGAGCTTGTGGGGCCACGCAAGGGACACACACAAAGGAAACACAAAAAAAAAACAACTCTTGTACGCATCAACGGGCAAGTCAAAGCCCTACCCTCCCAGGGCACCGCAGCCGTGGGAGATTAACCACACGCACTGGAAGTCCTCCCTCACTCACCCACAAAGCCGTACATTTCTCGTTATCTTTTTAATATTGTTTTTGCCCGAGGGGAGTCGCTAATGGTTGATGTTTTGTTGTTTAAATCACCCCCCGCGCCCCCGCTTGTGCCTCACACATCTCCAAGGGGGTCACCAGCGTAAAGCGATGTCGCAGTTTCCCACCGATGCTGGGGGCCAGCCTCCTCCCCATGCAGCTGCCGCTCCTTCTCCAGGCCCAGCAATTGTGCGCATTGGACCCTAGTATGCCCAATGAGTCCGCCAAAGGTATCCAGCAACGCCTTGTCCACGGCGGCGTCATCCAAAGTATAAACAAGCCTCGAAAAAAGTGTGTACGCTTCGTCAAATTTGGGCACAACACGAGAGCCAAAAAGTGTTGCGGCCGCGGCGCAGTTGGAGCCTGGATTCAGCGGGTTAATGATGCACAGCTCTGCCGTCGGCTCCTTTCCGGGCAATCGCTTGTTGGCGTAGTCAATAGCGGTGCGACGGTAGTCAAACTCCCGCGCGTAGTACTTGAGGAATTTCACGAGGCACACGGCGTAGCTCTTGCGGAATTCCGGCGGGCAGCGCCGCGCCGCCTCCGCGTGGAGGAACCACAGCACCATGATAGATATGGGAAACGAACCGAGGCCACCAACGCTTGGGTCGCCAAGAGACCAGCTTGCCACGAGGGCCTTCACCAGAATGATAATGCCGCGCGCAAGCGAAAATTGTGGTTTTTTGAACTCCTCGCAAAGAAACTGAGTGGACTTCACCCCATCCATTAGGAAGGAAACATCCACTCTCTTTCCACCTCGGTGGAGCGCCTTCACAATGGGCACTTTGGCACGGGGAATGCCCTGGACGGAACAGAAGGCAGCAGAGGAGCGCAAGTGGGTGCCAACAAGACGCAGCGCCCCTGAGAAGCGCCTGCTACGCTCCCGTCTCGACATACTGGAGGTATTGACAGGGTCCAAGAGGGAGGGCTCAAGCAATTGGCTCTCAGTAACCTTGTCGCCCCGCTTATGACACACGGCACTCGAGCCACTTCCTGGAGGCATTATGGAGCTTCGCTGCATCGCAACAAAATCCATGTCACTGCTCGGAGTAGAAAGGCCAGTACGCCAACTTCCAAACGCGACGGCAAACATATCCAAGGCGGAAAGAGCATAGTTCATGTCATCCAACACCCGTCGTGCGTATTCGTAATCAATGAGATGGCGAAAT